GGGGGAGGGGCCGTGGGGGTGAGGGGCCGAGGTGGTGGTGCTCAGGCTTTTGGGGGGAAAGGAATGGTTCCAGCAGGGAAGCGTCTGGGCGTGGAATTCGACGGGGCGCAGGGATAAGATGGGGTTGGGTTTTAGATATTGAGTTGTGGAGGTGGCATTGGGGGTCTTCAGAAGGGGCTGGGGAGACAAGCGAAGGGAAGCAAGTCGAGGGGATTAGATAAGGGGGGTGTTTCGGTGGTTCTGAGGAGATGAGGGTGGGGCGCCGTGCGCCGGCCGTGCGCACCCAGCATGATCATAGCCTTCTGTGCATCACAGGCACATGGGCCGCCCCATCTGAGGCTGCCTTGCTGTGTCCCGGCCCCTGACCACGCGTGGCAGTGCACCCGCGCGCACCTGCATTCTTGCAATGTTGAACCAGCGCCAGCAGATCCAGACAGAGATGGCCATGGCCCTGGGAGGCGCACAGACACAAAGGAGGGAGGCGGCACGGGGGCACACAGAGGATGATGGGCTGATGCAGTGGGGTGGCGCCACCTCAGTGGCGCAGCTCCGAGGCAGGGGGGGAAGCCAGCTACAACAGACATGCATCATACAAGCACGCTGGCAGTTACCACCCTCGGTCCGCTCTTGGAATGGGAACAGTCGGGTGTCCCTTATACAACGGGGCCCCCCAGCGCCGCGCCGCGTACGCAGGATCAGGGGCTTACACGACAGGGTCGATCCACCAGCCGCCGACCACGAGCGTAGTCGCCGCCGCGCCCGCGAGCGCCGCGAGGTTTGACATGATGTCATTCAGGTGGTCCTCCGCCAGCGCCACCATGGAGTCCGACTTGGACTTGAGCGCGTTGCAGACCACGAGGCAGACCTGGTGGGCGGGAGGGGCGGCGTTGTTGGGGCGGTGTGGTGAATTCTCTATGTGTGTGTTTGTGTTTGTGTGTGTGTGTGTGTGTGTGTGTGCGTGCGTGCGTGCGTGCGTGCGTGCGTGTGTGTGTGTGTGCGCATGTGTGTGTGAGCGCAAGTGCAAAATCTTGAGTGCACAGCGTCGGAGGAATGGGGGATGGGAGGGACTTGAGTTGCGATGCCGTGAGGGGCATCAGCGGCAGTTGCATGCTTTCGCAGCCATTCTCCTGTGGAACGCCTCACATGCGGCTCACATGCGGCTCACATTCAGCATACACCATCACAAAAGCAGTCAACCCACGAATAGCTACCCCATACCCAAGGCAGGCAGGGCCGCCCTCACTCACCAGCTTTGCGGCTGTCGCGCTGCCCAGCACCACGTACATCACCAGCCCCAGATCAAGGACCGGGATCTCTCCTGCACCGATCGGCAGACGACGGGACAGTCGAAGGCGGGGGCGCAGGCCGCCCTGTGCACGGAGGCCCTGCCTCTCCCTGCCCCCTCGCGCCCCCTCCTAAATAACACTCCAAACACACACGGTGCGCCATCGCCCACGTGCAGACACCCTTGACTCACCGTGGGCCAGTCCGCGGTACGTCGCCGCCACCGACTCGGCCACCACCTGAGGTGGGGGTGCGCACGGGATGGGACCGGGAGACAGGCGCAAGCACGCGCGGCGACAGCCCCTTGAAAACGCGGCTCCAGGGGGAGCAGGACGGACCCAGCGGGACGCGGGCAGCGGTCTGCTTGCACCCCACAGGCGCTGCAACCCTCGAAAGGTGATGCGCGGGCCCGGGCGGCACCCGTGCGGCCGCCGCCGCGGCGCGCCCCGCCCCTGCGCGCCTGGAAGGATGCGACAGCCATGATGCAGGCGCAGGCCAGCACGCCCAGCGCCTCAAGGCGCGCCTGGCCCACAGGGAACAGAGGGTCCGCGCGGTTCATCTGCCACTCGGTGTAGCTGGCGGGGCCGCGGCGGCGGCGGCCGCGTGGGGCGGGGTCAGGCGGTGGTTTTGTGTGGCATGGGAAGCTCGGCAGCGCCACGCCGGCTGGGGTGGAGCTTTGGACGCGGTTTGACCATTGCCAGCGGCTGAGGTGGGTGTTGCTGGTGCACGCGTGGCTGCGCCAACAACAAACACGTTCAAACCATCACGCCCATGATTGAGGCAGATGCACGGCAGCCGCGCAGCAAGCACAAACCACCAGGCTCTGCCTGGCCGCCCTCCAGCGCCCCTCTGCCGTCAGCTATTGCCCCTGCTCTCACATCCCACCCCTTTGATGCGTCCCTCACCACCCACCAGACCCTCATCCCACCTCCACAATCATGTGTGCTAATCCCCCCTCCAGACTCACCTAATGACGACCTGGCTGACCAGGTCGACTGCTGAGTCAGCCGCGCTGGCCATGACGGCCTTGGAGCCGCTCAAGCGCCACGCGTAGATCTTGGAAATCAGAAGCGCCACGTTGACCACTACAGAAGAGGGCGCCCGCGCAAGTGCGCGTGTGTGTATGAGATACGTGATTGCACAAAAGTGCGAATGTTTGCTGCTGGAGCGCTTGCTATTGTACTGTAGCGTCGCGCTCGTTCGCAGTGCGCGAGCGCCACGCAAGCAGCCCTGGCCGCGTCCCCATGCCGGGGGCTCGGCTCCTGCAGGACTTGTTGGGGCAAACAAGTCCTGGTGTGGCGCGCGCCCAGCCTCATGCTGTCGCGCCCCAGGCGCGCCTCACCCCAGGAGAGGCCCTGTGCAAAGTCTATCTGCCGCCGCAGCCGCTTCTGGGCCGCAGCTGCGGCGGCTGACTGCGACGGCGGCAGCAGGGGGGCTTCCAAGTCTGAGGCACGACTCGGTTCCGCAGCCGGCGTCGAGACCGCCACTGCGGCTGTAGCTGCAGCGCCGCGGGCGGCTGCGGCAGTGCCCGCATCGCCGCCGACCGGGGCGAACCCAGTGGTGACTCGCCGCGGCGGCATGCCCGGCGGGCCGGCGCCATCGGCAGCATCCAGCGGTGCCTGAGGGGCGGCTCTTGCAGAACGGAAGGACTGCACGGTGATAACGTGGGGGCCGCTGATGTAGGAGAGCCGCTGCGCGGCCTCGTCCGCGCTTGTGCGCCGCTGCGCCCCACCGCCCTCGCTTGGAATGGGGATCGGGGCTGTCCCAGGTCCTCCTTCTCCTGATTCCGTCATGGCCGATTTCATGCTACGGTATCGTCAGCAAAATTGGAGTTGTTTCAGTGCTGCCGCACGCCGTTGGCAAGCGTCTGAATCTCCCGAAGATCGTCGAAGGCGATCTAAGCGCTGATGCAAACAGCAGTATACAGTATGCAATGATGGTCACGCGGGATTTTGCTTACTCGGCAAGCACTGCTGCGTTGCTAATACCTTGCCTGTGTTTGACAGTGTCACTATCGGCGTCACAGCAATCTCACCACCCCTTTGGCCCCTTTGGGCAGCAAGGACCTGGCTCTTGTGTGCAAGACAATTGCATCCGCACAGCAACGTGCCACAGGACAATCATTTACACCAAACATGATCGCTAAAGCAGCAAATGGTGCGCACCAGCAATGCGTCGACAGGACGTCAGCAGGGATGCCTGCTGCGTCCACCCCCCCATTATAGGAGCGCCCAAAGCAGCACGCAGGCAGGAACTCCGGACAAATTGCTGTCGTCCCCTTCGCCTGCCCCACGCTTGTTGGTTGTAAGCAAGCAGATGTGCCGGCTTGTTTGATGCCCACCAGCCAAAGCCTGCACCAGCGGGCCTGCAGAGAGCCGGCGCAATCCTGGACATGGCCAGCCGGCAGGTGCGGCACATGCTACTGCGCGGGGAGTGTGCTTGGTGCAGCTGCCGACTGACACCGAATGGCAAGAAGGAAAACCAACCTCCGACCTCCACATTTTAGACCAGAGGTCACGTAATAACGAGGGGCTAGCTGCCAACGAAGGCCCTTCGGGGGTGTCCCGGAAGACGTGCGGCAGAGCGCGTGTGCAGACGAGTAATTGACAGTGTGTTGAGGCGCCGGGGCAATGTGGGTGTCGTGATTCAGCGCACACGGTGTTCACTCCCGAGCAGGGGGCAGCGGAGAGGGTGAGCGCACAGCAAGCGGGACAGGGATCGAAGGTTGCAGGATGCAGCGGAGGATGGGCGGTTGGCTTTGCCTGAAAGCAACACTGGGCGCAGCAGGAAAACCGGTGGTGGGCACGCCACAGCAGCTGAGCAGCATGGCATGCGTCGCAAGGCGGGGCCCACGAGTCGACCCCACCTGCAACACACCGGCTGGTCAAAAAAGCACTCTGAGGGCAGAAATGTGCAGTGTGCAGATGTGCAGGGTGTATGGATGGATGGAAGTCAAGCGCTGAACCCTAGTATCGGCGTTGTTCTTGTTTCCCATGCGCAATGGTGGCTGTCCACGAAACAGCATGATTCAGGTGCACCGCAACCCAGGCCCTCCAACTGGAAGGCAGCGCAGCGCCGCGCCGCGCTGCCGCGCCGCGCCGCGCCGGCCCCGCCGCACTGCCTACTCCAACTTGTGGGCGCAGCCAGGCGCGCCGCGCCGCGGCGCCACGCGCACGCCTGGGGTGCCCGCGAGCGCGGCCGGCGCTGGGACCGACGCGGGCGCGGCCATGCCGCGCAGCACGCCTTGGTATTGCTCCAGGAACACGTGGCGCGAGCGCACCTCCAGGAGGACCGTCACCAGCACCGCCGCCAGCCGCATGCACAAGCTGCATGCAAACGCCTCGCAGGCCGGCATCCCGTTGCTCAGCAGCCCAAAGTCGCCGAAGAGGTGCGCGGCCTCGGCCACCAGCGCGTGCCTCAGCCGCAGCTGCTGGCTCGCGGGCAGGATGACGGCGTGCGAGACGAACACGACCATCGGCTTCGTCGAGGCAACCAGCCACGCCGTCGGGAGCACCGCGCGCAGGAGCAGGCTCGCCGCGCCCGTCCACACCGTCCCCCCGATCCGGCCCGCGACAAGCAGCTGCTCGCGGCGCCGCAGGAACAGCGGGCGGTTGAGGAGCATGACGGCGTAGGGTACGATGAAGACGGCCAAGTACATCACCAGAACGGCCGCCTCGGCCGGCGCGGTGGCGCTGCGCAGCGCGGTGGCTAGCCAGGTGAGGGTGCTGTAGAGCAGGGCTGTCATGTCCAGCATGCTGGAGTGGTGGCTCTTAAAAACAACGTAGAGCGCCTCCGCGTGCGGCGCTGCAAAGCCGGACAGCGTCGCGCGCAGCAGCGCGCACGTGTCGCGCCGCAGCGGCGCCGTCGCCGGCGCGGCGGCCGTGGCAGACGCGCGGCGAGCGAGAGCCTCGCCGGCCGCCACAGGGGGCTGCGGCCGCGGCGGCGGCGGCACAACGGGTGCGAAGCGGCCGGCATGCTCGTGCGGGTCGGCGAGCTTGCCGCTCGCTTTGCTCGCTTGGGACGCCGTGGCGGAGCCCGAAGAAGCTGCGGAAGCAGCTGCCATGCCCGCAGCGGGGCGCCGCCGCCAGGGCTGCTGCGCCACCAGCTTTCGTGCCGCCGCCGGCTGCCGCTGCTCCCTGCTTGCGCCCGGCGCGCCCAGAACAGGCCGCGCAGAAGAGAGGCCTCCGGCCGCAGGCGTGCCCTGCCCAGGGCGGCCGCGCACCCTTGTGAGCGTGAGCTCCCCTGTGAACAGCATGTCCAGGCGCTCAAGCTCCGCCTCTAGCAGCCGGCGCTGCTCCAGCTCAGGCTGGTGCTGCGGCTGCTGGTGCCGCTGCTGCTGCTGCTGCTGCTGCTGCTGCTGCTGCTGCTGCTGCTGCAAGCACGCGGCCAATGACAGGGGCTCGCTTGCCGACCAGGACTCACGCGCCCAGTCGCCCTGGGCAGAAGCCCCGTGCGCGTCTGCCGTCCGCAGCGGCTGTTGTTGTTGCTGTTGCCGCCACTGCTGCCCTGGCTCCTGCTTCGGCGGCAGCGGCCGCCGATCCCCTGATGAGCACGCCGCGGCCGCGGCCACCTGGCGCGCGTGCTGGCGCTGGCACAGCTTGCGCAGCAGGGCATCGCCGTCATCATCCGACTCGTCGCTGCTGCTGCCCCTCAGACTGCCGCCGCCGCCGCTGCCTCTCCCGCCCTGCCGCGCGGCGCGCCCGAGCGCGGCCAGCACCCCAGCCGGGCAGCCGCGCGGCTCGCCCGCGCCCGCGCCAAGCGCGGCGTGCGCGAGGGTGGGCTGGAGGTTCATGAGCAGCACGGCGCACGAGAACAGCTCATGGTCCAGGCAGTAATCCAGCACTCGCTGGTAAGTCTCCAGGAGCTGCGGCTCAGGCAGCGAGGGCCCCGGCGTGCCGCGGCCCACCGCGGCGGCGGACAGCAGCGGGCCGCCGCCGCCGCCCCCTTCGCGAGGGCGGGCGGGGCTGCTGCCGCACGCGAGCGCCCGCCAGGCTGTGACGAAAGGTAGGAAGAAGTGCTCGTAGGCATAGCAGGCTGCGGGATCGACTGCGGGGACAGGTGCGTATGCTGTGCCAACAGCCCTGCCAGCATCGCAGCTGGCCGCGATCGCGCTCACGCTGGGGACGTCGCTCCAAACCGCAGACTGAGCGGGGTTTGCGGCGCCGGCTGCCTGGAAGAAGCGTGCCACCTCCCTCGTCATCCTGGCAAACAAGTCGGCAACCTCTGACGCTGCATCCGTAGGGAACGCCAGCAGCTGCGCCGTGTGCAGTGCATTGGCGTGCCCGAGCCCCGCAGGATACACATGGAGGCTCACGACGCCGGGCTGAACGCAAGCGAGCGGCAGGTCGAACCTGGCAGTTGTGGCGTGATGGGCACATCTAAACAAAGAAATCTCCTCGATAGGCGATACACTGGATCAAACGCACGCGCCAGCCGTCTTGACGGGTACAATCGCCTTCCCAGAACGCCCACCTGAGCGCCCCGGCGGGGTCCGTGGCAATGTTGGCATCCAAGAGACACACCCCGCCTTGTTGAAAGGCGACCACCCGAGCGACGTCCTCAGCCAGGGGCAGGAGAGCGGGCCCACAGAGTGCCACGCCCGCCACACTCGCCACATGACCGGCAGGAGCCCCAGCCATGACGATAGTCACGACTGGTGGCAGAACGCAGCATAGCTGAGAGGGCTCTCGCCAAGGAGGTCTGCTGGACGCCATGGGTTGCCGGTGCGCTGCAGCCCCGTCTTGCCTCACTGTGCCAACATTCAATTGAGCACAACCAGTCACGGCAAGATAGTTGTAAGGGGGTTCCAGATCACAGGGGCCAGGACACTATCTGTATCTACAAGGTGCAGGAAAGCTTGCAGGAGCTCGTTTATCGTACAGCTTAAATGTTTAAGGTCACTGTGGGCGTTGTCAGCTTGGTGAAGTACATGTGCCGTGTCATTCACGCCGTCAACCGCTGTGGTTGGGCATGGAACAGGAGATGCCCGATGAAGTACTAGAACGCCCTGCACCATGATACGTACCGGCACACGCTGCTCTGTGTACAGCTTTCCTGCCGCATGCCTTTTTGATATATCTGGCTTGTCTAGCGCTTGTGTCAGCCCGTCCGCCTGGTTGCTTCTGTGCGCGCCCTGGCTCCAGCAGTAGCAGTACCAGCTCACCCCACATGTGTCCGCAGGATTGAGGAATTCTGCACGTGCAGAGCTGTTATGAGCAGCAATTACTAGGCCGGCGCCCAAGAATGTTCACAGAACACAACACACAACACACGATGAATGCGCTTGTAAGCGGTGTGGCGGGTGCGCTGATGATATGCCGCCGCACAGAAGTGATGCATGCTTAAAAAACACAAGATTGGAAATGCACACATCTTCAGCCACCCATAAACCAAGCGGCAGGAACGCCTCGACGAGCGCCAAATGCACGGTGGGAGCGTCAAGGGCTGCCGGGCTGCCTATACATGCCACAGCAGTGCGGCATCCAGGTGCCCGTGCTGCGGCGAGTCGGCAGTCCTGGCAGCCTGGAGCGCGCAAGCGCAATCCTGCACGAGCTCAAACAGCCTCCCAGCGCAAACCCGCCCCGCCTCCGCCTAAGTCCCGCACAAGCCCAGTCCCGCACAAGCCCAGCGCACGCGCCGCGCACTCTAGCGCCGCCCGGCCGCCGCCGTGCCCCCGCGCGCGCGCGCTCAGTTGGCGGCGGCCGCGGCAGCGCCACGCGCGTTGCAGATGTTGATGAACGACGGCGCCTTGAGCGACGCGCCGCCCACAAGGAACCCATCGATGTCCTCCTGGGTGGCCAGCTCCCCGCAGTTGGCGTCCGTCACGCTGCCGCCGTAGATGATGCGGATGCTCTCCGCGCGCGACTTGCCCAGGCGGTCAGTCAGCACCTTGCGCACGTACGCGTGCACCTCCTGCGCCTGCGCCGGCGACGCGACGACGCCGGTGCCGATCGCCCACACGGGCTCGTACGCGAGCACGACCCTGCCCCAGTCCTGCACGTTCTCGAAGAGCGCCTGCAGCTGGATGTCGATCGTGTCGTAGAGGTGGCCGCTGTTGCGCTGCTCCAGGGTCTCCCCGATGCAGGCAATCACCGACAGGCCGACCTCCAGGGCGTGGCCCGTCTTGAGGCCGACGGTGCGGTTGGACTCCCCCAGCAGCAGGCGGCGCTCCGAGTGGCCCGTGATGACCCAGGGGACCATCGCGTCCTTGATCATCTCCGCGCTGATCTCGCCCGTGAACGCGCCGTCGGGCTTGGTCCAGCAGTTCTGGGCCGCGACCTCGTAGGCGCTTTTGATGTTGGCGCGGACCCAGTCGATGTAGATGAAGGGCGGCGCGACGACGATGTCGATGTCCGAGGGCACCTCGCCGGCGTTGAGGTCGGCCACGAGCTTCTCCACGCTGGCGTGGGTGCCGTTGCACTTCCAGTTGCCGCCCACGAAGAACTTGGCGCTGCTGGCCTGCGGGGGTGGCGGAGGGAGGGGGCAGGCTGAGCACAGTGTGGGGTTGGGGAGGGTTTGAGGCATGCGGGGGCTGGAAAGGCTGCTGCTTGTGTTGACGGGAGGAGCAGCCAGGCCCATGGGAGCCCAAAGTTGAGAAGGTTGAACCGCGCGGGGGAAACGGATGTGGGGGTGCCTCGAGGCTTGGCGGTTGCCGCAGGGTTTCAACAGGCGGCGACTGCGCTGATGTCACAGAACCCCGGCGGAAAGCGCACAGCAGAGCGAGGCCTGTCTCGCGCAATCATTGGTTGTCATGCTTCGTGAATGCTTGCGGCCTCCATGTTGATCGAAGCGCTGCTGATTGAGGCCAGCAGCGGCAGCGCAACCCCAGCAAAGCGGCGACGGTGCAACAAGGCCCCAGATGAGCCCCTTCACCACCCTTGGCCAGAATGCAACGTCGGCATCAGAGCACATCACGAAGCGCGCCACAATGCGACACTAGGGGCCGCCACTCGCCTTCGCAGCAACATTCCGGGCCAGATCAAGGTTGGCCGACCGCGGCACCACGGGCGTACGGGCTGCCACTAGTCTGTTGGTGACCACACCGCGGGCCAGCTTGTGCATGAGGGCCATCGCGACACGCTTCGCACCAGTCCAAGCAGGACTCTGTCTCAAAGGCCCACGTTCAACACGATCGCGAAGCGCGGATAACTCGTTAGTTGTCAGGCGTGCTGATTGAAGAGATACGAATGATCATTGACGAGGCACCGTCTGTCAGCGGCAGCAGCGCGGGCGCCAATGCCGCGCGACCACGAGGTTTTGGAAGTGCTCGCAAGGGTGATGGGGTCTGTTCAATAAGTTGTTATGGCGCTGAAGATGAATTGGCACAATCTTTTGCCGTTTGTATGCATGCTATGCCCATTAGCATCAAGCATGAGTGCTGACTGGACATGTGTTGACCAACCACAGGGATCAAGGCGTTGCAGTGGTGCACGCAGTGCGCGCGGCCGACACGCCGCCTCCCAAGTAACTAAAGACATGTCGGAAGGCAGGCCTGGCTCAAAGTATGGCAGGAGCACTGTCCTGGCACGGTCCTTTTACCGAGCATGGCCTGTGTGTTGCATTGCACACGCCCGGCCGGCCGTTGTCATGACGTCAGTTTGGCACAGCATCTTCTAGTCAAAACCCGCTCGCACGTTCCGACTCAAAGCACTAGGGCGCTGTCAAATCGCCAGCTGAAGGCCATCTCATCTCCTCCTGATTTGTGCACTGCAAACATGCATTATTCTTTGTGGCTGTGCCCGCCCAGGCACGTATAGCTCCACGGAGGTGCGTGCAACATTGCAGCTGCAGAGACAAAGCTGACAGGATGTTGGTGTCAGAAAGAGAGGCCGACATGGTTATGGATAAGAGTGGAGAGTGCAGCCCGGGCGCTGCTGCCAGCAATAGTATGGCGTCAAGACCGACCATCCAAGCGTTTTCAAGTGGTATTGTGTACACTGTGACACGGCGGGGACAGCACGCATCAGTCAGGGCCAGCTGTGCAGGAATCCCGCACCCCTGGCCCTGGTGCTGAGGTTGCCTGCACGTTTACTAGGTGGTGTGTTGAGGGGCTGTTTGGCGCCCGAGACACCGCATACGGCGGGTGCGGCAAGCAACAAAGTGCACAAAGCGTCTGGGCCATTGCTGGTGACGTGATAAGATGGCCAGACAACGTCTTGCAATTTAAATCATACCTCAACTGCCTTGAAATCGTAGTCGCCTGTCACCGTCTCACCGGGGATTTGCAGGAAAAAGTGTGCGGCAAGCAACAGAGCAACTTGCACAAAGCGAGTGGGGTATCCCTGCCTGTAACCTTTCCACCGGGACTTGCACCACACATCATCTGCAACGTAGGTCACCCCTCGCGGCGATGGGCCCGGAGGATGGTCCTGACAGTGCATCGGGCCCATTTTGTGCCTTGCTGACGTCACTGGTGACTCGCGTAGTGTGGTCATGATCGTCAGCCGATGTGCCGGAGTTATTAGTGTGTATATGCAAAAAGTTACATCAAAACGCGTGTTCCTCATTGTCAGACCTCTCATTCAAGCCCCGAATACACAGATCGCAATCCATCATCGCATTCATCGCAGCGGTCGAGCGCTCAGCACGTTGCTGCTCCTCAACGTGCTACGGGGGCATGCTGCTGAGGGCCGCTGTCCGGGTGCCGCTTCTCGCCGCTCCCCGTGCAGTGCGAGCTGCACGCGCGCACTCAGCGGCACCGCGCATGGCGTCTGCACTCACTTTTGCGGCACACGGGGAGCCGGAGGATGTGCTGCAGCTGCAGCAAGATGATGCGTCCGGCGCGGCGCCGTTGGGGCCCAAACAAGTCCGCCTGCAGCTCATTGCGGTGAGATGAGGGTGGATGCATGGCCCTCGTGCCCCCGGCCCCCCCCCCCCTGGCGGGCAGCCACTGGCGGACCTTGCCGCCGGCCCTGGTAAGAGCATGCGGAGGCCGGCAGATACAAAAAGCAAACCGTAGTACAACCCTCATCTCACAGCATAGCAGCCACCAGCGCTCACATGCGACGGTGTGGCTCGGGCAGATGCGTCGTTAATTTCTGCCAATCTGTCATCCCTGCCCCCCATGTGGGTTTAGAGGTCCCCCCCCCCCACACACACACACACATCGCCGCGCTCCCAGCCTACTCACACATCCGCCGCCAATCCCCCACCCCGCCGCCAGGCGCCCATCAACCCCTCCGACATCAACACAGTGCAGGGCAAGTACCCTCTGAAGCCGCTGCTGCCAGGCGTGCCCGGCCACGAGGGTGTCATGAGGGTCGAGGCGGCAGGCGCAGAGGTGTGCGGGAGTGTGTGTGTGAAAATGTGTGTGTGAAAATGTGTGTGTGTGTGTGCACGCGTGTGTGTGTGTGTGTGTGTGTGTGTGTGTGTGTGTGTTTGTGCGTGCGCGCGCGCGTGTGTGTGCGCGTGCGTGTGCGTGCCTGTTGTGGCAGTGAGCACCAATCCGTCTCACAAAGCCGCCGACGACAGCAAAGCTTGGGTGGCGAGGGGCCTCTGAAGCGTGAGATGGCCAGGCTGGCACCCACCGTAACGCCCGTGCGCTGCAGCAGCCATTTTATTGCACCAGCCATTCTATCAGGCAGACGGGATGCCGCAGCGGCCGGTGTCACGACACACCACACTCGCCAGCTGGCCGCGGCCCGCCGGCAGCACCTGAGGGGCGCAGCCACAGCCGCTCTTCCGCCCTCGCGCACCACCCCACCCCGGCGCCCGCCCGCTCGCGTCCCTGCCGCAGGTCTCGACCCTGCGCCCGGGGGACCGCGTCGTGCCGCTGCTGCCCGCGGTCGGCACGTGGCGCAGCAGCGGCGTGTTCGAGGCCGAGGGGTGGCACGCGGTGCCAGAGGGTCTGCCTGACGACGCCGCGGCCACTCTGTGCATCAAGTGAGCCCGGGCTGCGGGGCCAGCCGGACCGGCAGGCTCGTGTGCAGCCGGAGGCAGTTGTGCTGGCGTCAGGCGGCCCGCTGCGCGCCTGTCAGCTGGCCGCCGCATCCTTGGGGGCTCCAACCGTACCCACGGCCGCAGCACCCTCACAGCCGCTGCTCGTGCCCACAGCCCGCCACCCCTGCGCCCCACCACCCCTGCCCGGCGCCGCGCCTGCGCCCCGCCAGCCCGCCGACCGCGGTGTGCATGCTGGAGCACTTTGTGGAGCTCAAGGCGGGGGACGTGGTCGTGCAGAATGGCGCCACCAGCGCCGTCGGCCAGGTGCACGTCCCCCGCGCCGCCGACCCGCAGCCCCATCGCATGCGAGCGCGCGCGCGCGTGGGCGCAATGCGGCGTGGCCCTGGGCCGTCGACCCGCGCCAGGGGCGCCTGCGGCCCCGGGGCTGGGCGTTGTATCCGCGGGCCGTACTTGCAGCCCGGTTCTCAAGCTGCGGGGCATCAGGCCACCCTCCTTTGACTATCTTAGCAAGACGCCACCATGAGCTGGCCAACCCCTCCCCGCGGGCTCCCCTTGGCGCCCCCCCCACCTGCTGACCTCAGCACGTCATCCAGCTGTGCAAGGCCAGGGGCATACACACCATCAACATCATCCGCGACAGGTGTGAGGGCAGACTGACGGCATTTGATACGCCGTCCTTGCGTGCACATACGTGCAGCCTCGATCGCCGCCCCCGTGCAGCATGACTGGCCCTCGGCAGCGCCTGCGTATGCGCTGATCTCCATCCAAGCGCCGCGGCGGCGGACCGCGTGCACGCCAGAACCGTCCAGCCTCAGCATGCGTCTGCCGGGCTGTCATCAAGCTGAAACATTTTCAGCGTGAACGCGCAAGGAAATCTTCAATGTGTCGCGGCC